CCATACATTCATTTCCTTGCTCACCTACTTTAATACTGCACCACTGTATATTTTTAATGGAATACGTGAAAGACAGAATTACAAATGTCCTTTATTCCTAACCATGGCAGGCTTCTTTTTCATTTTATTCTGCATACTGTATGTCTCAAGAACTCTATCAAGGCTGTTACTAAACATATTGAGCACATTATTTTGTAGTTTGGTGCCCTTTGTCCCCTTGAGCCACGTCTTGGTAAAAAGCTGTTGGAGCCATTGACCAACCTTATTCACAGGTATTAAAAAAATAATAAGAAATATAATTTTTGACAATGAAATTATAATAATTTCTTCTTTTGAATAAGTGATGAATTAGTCACAAGTCCTATTTTTTAGCAAACTTTAACTTGTTGTCATCCGCTGTTTGTTGATAACCAATTCTATTTCCTTCAGTACCTCTGCAATGTCTCTACTTTATGAATGCGTGAACACTGTGATTGCAGGTATGACATCATTACTGATACTATCATTGCACCAAGCAGTAGATTTTGACTTCACTACTTATATGCAACACAACGACACACTAACACTTGGTCAGCCAGCCCTAGATAGTCTTTATTGTTTTATGCTATAAACTCTCTACAGATCATGTTTCTAGCGCCAAGCCGGACACGAAAACCCAAACCACCCTATGGAAAAAGGGAACGTGTACCCCCGACCATGCTGTGGTGCACTCTTGGAGTTTTAGAGTTTGACATTCTGGATTCTATATACTAAGCTATAGTGATTGTGCAGACCGCGTTTCTGCGTGCCGGTTCAACCACGAGCAAACTAGACTTGTTCCCTTGAACACCTTTATTCAACTAACTCTCGTTTTACAATCATCGTATGTTAAACTAGCTATTTCACAATTATTACAAAATGTACTCATTTGACTGGTCATACGTGTTTACTTATTACGACACTGACCTTGGTTGAACTTGTCAACTTAAATCAATCTATGTTTACTTAACTAATGTGTAATACCTAATGAATAATCATTGACTAAATTGGTAATTATTAATTGTAAATTTTGATTCCCAACAGTGATATTTACAACGGTTTATTTTGTAATCGGTAGTCAAAGAGTCTCATGATCACCGTCTCTTGATTATCAACGATCGTTAAATTTGTGCAGTCAGTATTGGATATCTCTAGACTGTGAAAACCGAACTTGACTTGTATTGCGTGGCTAACCTTAGACAATGTTCTCACACTTATAACCTACTTACATGTATATACTCTGTTCTCCCTAAGGACACACGCTGCACTCGCACGTGCATAAGGGCGCGTGCCGGCAAAATATTAATTTATCCCAAACTCGTTCCTCGTTTGTCACAAATTACATTTTGTAGTAGTAGTCATGTCATGGATCCATGCAGTACATGTAGCCTGATTTCTTCATACACATTGAATGATTTCCCATTACAACTATTCAATCACCAAGCTTTACTGATTTTAAGGCCAGTTTACACTTGCGGTTTTTGCAGAGCGATTCTCGCAGCGATCACCTGAGTTTCCAACATGCTTGAAAATTGACTACGATTTCCCATTGTCACAACAATCGCAGGGCTGTTTACATATACGATTTTAGTTGCGTGATAGCAAAATGAGATTATTGTGCTGCAAAAATCGCAAGTGTAAATGGCTCTTTAGAGATCTGTTATCTTAAATGTTCAATGTACAATGTACCTTCTTGACACCTCATCTGAATGGTATATGAACCAATGTAATATAAAGCATACATCATCGTCATGACATGAACCAAACTTTCTTGTTTCTATTCACAGGACTCCCAAACCATCAGGCTTCTATACAGGTATTATATTATAAGAATTTTGTGAATTTATAATATTCTACATGTACCAGTTGGTTAAATCTTTATACAACACTGTGNTCAAACGATCTAAAGAAAAAACAGGCCAAAAACTTTTCACTTCGATCGCACGCCATTTTGTTTTGCTTAGTAACCGCGCTTTTATGGTTTCCCTTTGCGTTTACCATGTCATAGTTTTACTGGGAACTTTAAATTCTTTTTATTGACAAATAATAAATAATAGCATTGGTCATGGACTTTTCAGTCATGTTGTGCAAGAAAAATTCTTGAGTGATCATTAAAAAAGACAAACTATCGCTCGAATCAACACCTCGAATCACAAACAAACTATGGTTACTAAGCGTGCCCTCTATGATACAAACACAATCAAGATTAGAACAACTTGACATTGTATTAAAGGTTGTGGAAAATATTATCTCAATCTGAAGTTTTATTTCAACTACCCAGTACTCGTTCGTAGTGAAATACAAACTACAGTATCGTTCGAACATAGGAGTAACTATGTATGGAATCGGAAACAGACTACGCTAAAACTTCGCTTGCCCTCTGTTTGCTACAAACACTATCAAGTCCAAATACGTTAGATTGGAAACTATTTGACATTTTATTACTTTGTTTTAAGTGCAAGGTGGTGTTTTATTGTTTCGAATTCAACCACTTACTCAGCTACTCGTTCGTAGTCGTTCGTAGTGAAAAATACATTTCACTGAAATTTGTTCATATAGGCCTGAAAAACTAAAAGTCAACAATAGCTAACTTGTTTATATTTTTGCATTACGACTTCATATATATATCAATAACTAAGTGGGGGCGACATCACTTATATATGGGGGCGAGATCATGGGGCGACATCACTTCGGGGCGACATCACCGGATACCTTCCAACATGCTTGAAAATTGACTATGATTTTCCATCATCACAACAATCGCAGGGCTGTTTACACGTACGATTTTAGTTGCGTGATAGCAAAATGAGATTATTGTGCTGCAAAAATTGCAAGTGTAAATGGCTCTTTAGAGATCTGATATCTTAAATGTTCACTGTACAATGTACCTTCTTGACACCTCATCTGAATGGTATACACCCTTTTAATAAGTCCCAAGGTATTGTTTTCTCCACACTTGACGTCAAATTTATTCTTTTGAAATTTTTACAATACAAAAGGAATTCAAAAGAATAAATTTGAGGTCAAGTGCGGAGAACGTAATACCTCGGGACTTATTAAAAGGGTGTATATGAACCAATGTAATATATAGCATACATCATCATCGTGACATGAACCAAATTTTCTTGTTTCTATTCACAGGACTCCCAAACCATCAGGCTTCTATACAGGTATTATATTATAAKAATTTTGTGAATTTATAATATTCTACATGTACCAGTTGGTTAAATCTTTATACAACACTGTGATTTTCATTCTAACACAATTGACTGTTCTTAAAATATAGTAATATTCTCATTCCTAGGATAGGAGGCATTAGGAATAGCTAATAAAGTTATACAGATTTGACCCTAAGCCCGCTTGCACTGGAATTTTGAGAATTGTCAATTCTTAAGTAGCACACTTTACACACTTTACTAGATAAATGTATTGTTTTATTTTGTAGCTGTGTGTTTCCAAGTTAAGAATTCTACTTGAGGATCCTGATCAGAACTGTAAGTACAATACCTATCATACCATATTATAGTTCATCTTTTGGACAAGGTACAGTTTCTTGAAAGAATATTATTAATAGTAATGCACATGTGAAAAAGAGAAAGACTGGAAGAAGCACTACGGAAAGCAAATCAGTACACATATCAATGTAATGATCAAAATGCAATATACTTTGATTATTGGTTTCATTGATTTTATTAGTGATTTTATGGCCAATTTTTAGTTGACATCACAGCAGACATGTTTTCCTCATACCACTGGACTAGAATCACTATTAACATGCAATGACTAATAGGCTGTACCTACCAGACCTGGAACTAACTCCATGAAACATTCTAGAAATGTTCTAGAAGTGAAAGAAAGTTATAGTGGTTTTTTAATGTTCTGTTTGTTGTGTTGTAGTGAAATATCTTGCACTGCTGTCAATGTCCAGCATATTAAAGACACATCCCAAGATAGTACAGCAACACAAGTAAGCACTGATGCCTCTAGATTGTCATGTCTAGGATATTGAAAAGAAAACGCTGCTCGGGAGGTTGTTTGAAGTAGATACATATCGTAGATTTATCTTTTTTAAGTCCAGTATCCCCGTCCGGTTTTTCATGTTCTGCCCAGTCTATGGTATACTGCAGCTAAGCTGCAAGCAAAGTTGCATAAAATGCATGTACAAATAAAAAAAAATAAAAATATTGTTTACCGTCTATAGGTCGGTCCGTGTAGGAAAACACTGCTCTCGCTCTTTTATGTACGGACCTCGCTGCACTCGTTCTGTACTGTCAAGACCTCGGGCATTAGTTTCCTATATGGACCTCCTAGCCAATAAATAACATATGTATCCAA